GCGTGGGCAGGAGGCCAGCCCCGGGGGTCCGGCCTCGGTCCCGGCTCTCAGGCCAGCGCCCCCCTGCGCCCCCAGGGGAGCACCCCTTGTCCTTCGCTGCCTGCGTGGGCAACGAGGAGATCGTGCGGCTGCTCATCGAGCACGGAGCTGACATCCGGGCCCAGGACGCCCTGGGTAGGAGCTGCGGGGAGGGCGCTGGGCGGCAGGCTGGGCAGGCAGCCCCGTGTGGCTTTCAGGGCCTCCGCCCGTGGTCACTCCCCCCCGCCCCCCCAGGGAACACGGTGCTGCACCTCCTCATCCTCCAGCCCAACAAGACCTTCGCCTGCCAGATGTACAGCCTGCTGCTGTCCTACGACGGGCGCGGTGACCACCTGCAGTCCCTGGAGCTGGTGCCCAACCACCAGGGCCTCACGCCCTTCAAGCTGGCCGGCGTGGAGGGCAACACCGTGGTGCGTCGCCCCGCCCCCCGCCCCCCGCCCCTCCGGCCCGACCACCGCATCCTACGCTCTCGGGCTGTGGGAAATAACCGCGCGCAGCCGCCCAGAGCTTAGGGCCCTCCCAGACGCACGGCCCCTCTCAGGCCTGGCTAGGTGCCTTCTCCCTGGGGTGTTGAGGCTGTGGCGTCCGGGTCCCACCCTGGGCGCTTGTGGTACCCGCGTGCACCTGCCCTATCAGCCTCCAGGGCAGCCCCCACCGCTCACCTCCTCTTCCCAAGCCGCCGAGGGACTTCCAGGGAGGGAGGGCCCCGGGGGCCTCGGGAGCCCCAGGGTCACGGCCTGCACCCCTGACTGGCCCCGCCCCCAGATGTTCCAGCACCTGATGCAGCGGCGGAAGCACGTGCAGTGGACATACGGGCCACTGACCTCCACGCTCTACGACCTCACGGAGATCGACTCCTCCGGGGACGAGCAATCCCTGCTGGAACTTATCGTCACCACCAAGAAGCGGGAGGTAGGGGGGTCTTGGGGCTGAGGGCCGCCGGGGCGGGACGCCAGGGCTGGGGGCCCCCTGCGCCATTCCCTCCCTGCGCAGGCGCGGCAGATCCTGGACCAGACGCCGGTGAGGGAGCTGGTGAGCCTCAAGTGGCGGCGGTACGGGCGGCCGTACTTCTGCGTGCTGGGCGTCATCTACCTGCTGTACATCGTCTGCTTCACCATGTGCTGCGTCTACCGCCCGCTGAAGCCCAGGAGCGGCAACCGGACCAGCCCCCGGGACAACACCCTCCTGCAGCAGAAGCTCCTGCAGGTGACCTGGGGCCACAGAGCTCAGGGCGGCGGCAGCTCTCTGCCCCTTCTCAGATCCTGTCTTGCACCCCGCATGCGCCCCTCCCCCCAGCCCCTTGCCAGGTTTAAAATGCATAGGCACAACCCCCCCCCCCAACATGCATGCTCCCCCCAGCACACACATGGCCTGGAAGCAGTGTGAGTAGCGGAACCCTCAGCAGCAATCTGATGGGAGGGTGGGTGGGAGCCTCAGAAAGGGGAATGACACCCCCCTTCACCCCCAGCCTGGGCCCTGAGTGCACTGATCACATCCCCCTCAGGAGGCCTACACGACCCCCAAGGACGACATTCGGCTGGCCGGGGAGCTGGTGACAGTCATTGGGGCTGTGGTCATCCTGCTCGTCGAGGTGAGGCATGGGACATGGACGGGACCCCCGGGGGCGGGCTGCTGCCGGGCAGCCAGCCAGGCTCCGCTCTGCAAGCGCTGGGTGTGTCCCTGGCCTCCCTCCAGATTCCAGACATCTTCCGGGTGGGGGTCACGCGCTTCTTCGGGCAGACCATCCTTGGAGGGCCGTTCCACGTCCTCATGTGAGTCTCTTCCTCCTACTCCCAGCCCCTCCTCGCTCGGGCCCCAGTCTCCCTGCCTGGGCCCGTGAGCTCTGGTGACCCCCAACCCCGGGGCCCCAGGCAGCATCGGCCCTGTGCATGGAGCTTGCGAAGGCTCCATCGGAGCGTCGAGTCAAACTTGCTGTGGCCCTGGGCAGCCCCAGGCCCCTCACCAAGGCTCTGCTCCCCCAGCATCACCTACGCCTTCATGGTGCTGGCCACGCTGGTGATGCGGCTCACCAATGCCAACGGGGAGGTGGTGCCCATGTCCTTCGCCCTGGTGCTGGGCTGGTGCAACGTCATGTACTTCGCCCGCGGGTTCCAGATGCTGGGCCCCTTCACCATCATGATCCAGAAGGTCCGTGCCGCCCTGTAAGCCTCCCGGAGACAGCGCCCGGGGGCTGCCCGCACTGCTGTGGGGGGCAGGGCGGGCGAGTCAGGCTTCCCAGCCTCACTGGTCTCCTCCTGGGCCTCTTTTTCCTTCATCTCCATCTCCCTCCTCCTCCTCTTCCTTCACTATCTGTCTTCTTCCTTTGCATCCGCTTCGCCTCTCTGCCTCCGCCACTTCCTGTCCTTCCCCCCTCTCCTCCTCCTCTATCTTTTACCTATGGGGAAACCACTCTGTGCTGCACTGAACAGGCTGCGTGGCCTGCAGGCCAGTTGCCACGCCTGTCCTTGGGTGGGCTGCAGGCAGCTTGGTGGGAGCCTTAGTGGCTCCGGGGGCAGGGGGCAGTCCCACAGGGGACAGTGTGGAGACGTCCTCCCTCCCCTTGCCTCTCACTAGATGATTTTTGGAGACCTGATGAGATTCTGCTGGCTGATGGCCGTGGTCATCCTGGGCTTTGCCTCTGGTAAGGTGTCTGTCCAGGAGGGGACGTGGGAGGGGGAGCTAGAGGGAAGATGAGAGCAGAGAGTAGCTCTGGATAAACTTGGGGAGGGGGACAGAGGCCAGAGGACCGTCTGAGGATGGCACGTGGCTCAGAGTGAGGGAAAGCCGGGAGTGTTGAGACAAGGGCCCCTGGGTCCAGGGCGATGAGCCCTCTGCAGACAAGGGAGTGTAGGAAGCCAGCGAATGGGTGATGGCGGGCGGGTGGGCAATACTGGAGATGCGGGAGATGGGCAACAAGGAGCCTCGGTGGAGGATGCGGTTGCCATGGTAACTCTCACCCCCTGGGGCGGAGCAGCCTTCTATATCATCTTCCAGACGGAGGACCCCAACGAGCTGGGCCATTTCTACGATTACCCCATGGCCCTGTTCAGCACCTTCGAGCTGTTCCTCACCATCATCGACGGGCCCGCCAACTACGACGTGGACTTGCCCTTCATGTACAGCATCACCTACGCGGCCTTCGCCATCATCGCCACGCTGCTCATGCTCAACCTCCTCATCGCCATGATGGGCGACACCCACTGGCGGGTGGCCCACGAGCGGGATGAGCTCTGGAGGGCCCAGGTGAGCCCCCTGGTGGAGGGGAGGGTTAGTGCACATCATCGCCTTCCTGTCAAACTGGGGGGGGAGACAGGCGATTTTGACCCCAGTGTGTAAGGACGGTCACTGCCCAGTCAACAGCAGAAGGCTGTAGAGCACAGACGCTGTGGGTCAGCAACCCGGCTGAGCCCCACTGCGGTAGCTGGGCAGAATTCCTCGGTCTTTTCTAGAATAGTCAACAAAGAATAGATGAAGGAGAAGTGAATGGTGGTGGACAGCGCGTTGGGTAAATTCCGTTACCGGAGTGAAAACTGAAGTAGCGTGTCGCCTTGGCGATATTTAAGCCTGCAAAGTTGGACCCGGAAAAATTGGGGCTGTGCAGAATAAGGCCGCAAGGATGCGCCTAGAATCAGGCGCTGGCTTCTCTCGGTCACCGCAGAGGAGACAAAAGATCAGTGAATCCAAGCGTCATTTTCAAATACACTTAGAAAGCCATTTATCACCACAAAAATAATTTCATCAAAATAAAAGTGGAAATCCGCCGATAAGGTGGCACTGACCAGAGCTATGACTGCAAGACACCCCCACGGGCGGGGCCGGCCGCAGGGTCCCCTGGCGGTGCTCTGGGGTGGGCGTGGACGCCTCGGACGCCACGGCCTTCACGGCTGCCAGGCCAAGTAGCCTGGATCTCGGGGCCCTCGCTGGCTCCGCCAGGCCTCTCGACCTCCTGCGCCAGCCGGGGGCTTTGCATCCAGAGACGGTGGGTCCTCGTGAGAAGTGGGGTTCCAGTGCCGTCGACCCTCCCCCGTGGAAGTGGGGCAGTGCAGGGGGGTCATGGCCTCTGGGAGACCCTGGACCCCGCGGTTCTGTCCTCCCCCTGCCCAGCTCCCTCTCCGCACTCCGCCCTCCCCAGTCTGCGCCCAGCCCGCAGCCTCCCTGACTCCCTCTAACCCCCACGTAGGTCGTGGCCACCACAGTGATGCTGGAGCGCAAGCTGCCTCGCTGCCTGTGGCCCCGCTCTGGGATCTGTGGGCGAGAATACGGGCTGGGGGACCGCTGGTTCCTGCGGTGAGTGCCCGTGGGCTGGGGTCCGGCTGACCAGAGAGCCTGCTGCTCCCTCGGCCTGTTTACTGAAGCTGCCAGAGGCTGGGGGCGGGGGGGGGGGGGCTGGAAGCAGCTTGCTCCCCCAGGCCTCGGCTGCAGGCAGGGGGCAGGGCCCACAGCGGACTGGGGTGCAGCGAGGAGCCAGGCCTCGGCCTGCTGTCCCTCAAGTCTCGGGCCCCGCAGGGTGGAGGACAGACAGGATCTCAACCGGCAGCGAATCCGGCGCTATGCACAGGCCTTCCACAACCCCGGCTCGGACGACTTGGACAAAGACTCGGAAAAGCAGGTGCCGGGCCGCCTCTTCGGCCCTCACCTGTCCCTTCCCACCCCCTCCGTGTCCCGAAGCACCTCCCGCAGCAGCATCAACTGGGAGAGGCTTCGTCAGGGCACCCTGCGGAGGGAGCTGCGGGGCTTGATGAACCGGGCCCTGGAGGACGGGGACGGCTGGGAGTACCAGATCTGAGGGCGACCACACCACCCCGGACGCCCGCTCCCCGGCCCCGCGGACGGACGGACGGACGGACGGACCGGGAGGAACTCTGAGGAATGCAGTTGGGCGTCCTCCACTGGGCCCGAGGCCTGGGCCTGGCCCCGGGCACGCGGCCTGGAGGCCTGACCGAAGGTCCCTGCACTGTCAGAGCAAAGCACTTTACCGAAGGGCTGGCCTCCTCGGACACCCAGCCCTGCCCCCCGGGTCACAGTGGCAGGGACAGCCCCGCCCCAGGGTGCTCAGACAGTTCGGGAGAGGCTCTGGGAGGTGTGTGAGTGGGGGGAGGTACTGCTTTGGAGGGTGGTCGAAGCCAGGCTGACGTGTGTCACCTGCTGCCTTCTAATAAAGTCGTTACCTGCTCTGCCCTGGGCCTTCTGCTCCTTCCGGCAGCCCTATCCTCTGCTCATGCACCCGAAGGCCCCCCCTCCGCCCCGCTCCTAGCGAGCTGCCCCAGACTCAGGCCTCGCCACACCTCGACTTGCAAACTCCCTTCTTTCCCTTTAATGTGGGGGAGGGCGTGGAGGGCAGAGGGCTGGGGCCGAGCGTCTGGAGGGTGGTGGGCCAGCGTGGAGGCTGGCTGGCGTCTCCCGAGTCCCTTTGTCCAGGCCAGGCGCGGGCACGGGCAGTTCAGGGCTCCAGCCGGGGCCTCAGACCTCCACTGAGCCTGGCGGCCTCAGGTGCTGCTGGAGGAGCTGGACGTTGTGAAGCAGCTTCTTCTGGTGGCCGGCGAGGGTGACGCCCAGCGCCGGCAGGTCTCTGGTGGGGAAGGAGTGCGTCACCTCGGGCCAGCTTCTCCCAGGGGACAGGCCTGGCCCCTGGCTAGGGCTCGGGAAGCCCCTGCCCGCCCCTCCCTGCTTACTCCAGGCTGAGCTGGGCCACATCACCGAAGGTGTGAAGGCCAAACTTGGAGAAGTTTTCCTGGTAGCACTCCAGCCCGATGGCTGAAAGCCAGGCCTGGGGCGAGTCCAGAGACGGGAAGTCCAGAGCCACCGGGTTCAGCAGGGCCTGGGAGGGTCTGCGGGGAGAGGGGGCAGGCAGATCAAAATCCCCTCTTCACCTTGGCCCCCCTCCTGGGTTTCCATTTGGGTTTGTGTCTCCCTTCCTAGCTTTCCCAGGCTCCGGCCCCAAGCTCCAGACCTGTCCCCGGGGCCCCCGCCAGCCTGCAGAGTGTCCGGCTTGCGGATCATCTTGTCAAATGCAGCCACCAGCTGGTCAAAGTGGGGTCGCTGGGTACGGTCCTTTTGCCAAGTGTCCAGCATCAGGAGATGTAATCCAGGAGGACAACCTGGAGGTGGCGGCAGCCGGAACTCCTGTTCTATTGCATTTAGTACCTGGGGGTCAGAAGAAGAATACTGGTGGGGGGCAGCTGTTGCAAGTGGAAAGGAGGGTGTTGTCAGGCAAGGGGCGGCCTGGGGTCAGCAGCAGTGAGAGGGGGCAGTGGGGAAGGACTTCGGAAAACAAGAGTCCCGTGATCTCAGACTGTGGGTGGAGAATTAAGAGTGCTAGGTGAGAATCAGAATTAGCAGGTGTCTGTCTGTGAGGCTGTAGGCTAGAGCTGGGTCCGCGGGCGGGGTCGGGGTTGAGAGATGACAGGGGGCTGGGATGAGTCAGCACCACCATCTCGGCAAGGGCTCACCTCCTGGTCACTCATGTCCCAGTAGGGCCGCTCTCCATAACTCATCACCTCCCACATCACGATTCCAAAGCTCCAGACGTCGCTGGAGCTGGTGTGTTTTCCATGCGTGATGACTTCCGGGGCCGCCCAGCGAAGCATACACCCCGGGCCCTGGAGGAGGCTGCTCTCAGTTTCCCCAGTCCTGTTACCGCCACCCCTGGACCCAGCCTCCCAGCTCCGCTCACTTCCCACCCAAGAGTCCATCTGCCTACGGCCAGGTGAGCTCCCTCCCTCGGACACGAGTCTGTTTCACCTGAGCCCCACCCCACCCCGGCCGTGTCTCACCTGAGGACTGTGGCCCAGACCGGCCACTTTGCACACCAGGTGGCTGTTCACCAGCACGCTGTGGGCAGAGAGCGCGCGGTGGACGAAGGCGAAGCTGGACAGGTACTGCATGGCGGCGGCCACGCCCCGCTGCATGGCCACCAGCTGCAGGCTGCTGAACTGGCCCTCCCGCTGCTGAGGGGAGGGGGCCAGAGGTCAGCCGCCAGCAGCATGAGAGGGCCAGTGTCCAGGGGTCTGGACACTGGCGAAAGGTCTGGGAAGGAAGGCTGAAGACCACGGAGGGGGGTGCCAAGGGGCGAAAGGACAGCTCAGTGCGTGCATCCACCCCCCCCCAAGCCCACGCCCAGCCCCCACTGACCCTGAGGAAGCTGTCCAGGGGGCCCAGGTCCATGAGCTCTGTGAGCACCATGAGGGGCCGGCTCTTGGTGACCACGCCCTCAAGTCGAAGGACGTTGGGGTGCTGGAACTGGCCCAGCACCGCCGCCTGACCTAGAAAGGCCATCTGCAGGCTCTCTGCACCCCCGGCCCACAGGGCCTGGATGGCCACTGCCTGCTCCCGCCGGCCCCGGGGCTGCAGCCGGCCGCGGCGCACTTCTCCGAAAGAGCCTGCGACAACAGAAGTCAGCCGAGTGACTCCCGGGGCCTCGAGAACCGTGCCGGGCGGCCCGGGGAGGCCCGCCCGCCCCGCCTCTCCCCGCCAGGCCTCCCCGCCTTGCACACGCCCCCACACCCCCACGCAGCAGTACCTGCCCCAATAACCTCCTCTATCTTGATATACGCGGGGTCCACCTCCCTGGAGAACTCGCGAATGGCCTGGCAGGGGTCCTCGTAGGTGGAGGGGTCGATGTAGTACTTCACCCCCAACCCTGGGGTTTGAGGGCCGCTGGTTAGCGGCAAGCCCGGCAGCAGCCCTCCGCCCGGGGGACGGCCTTGCCGGCCCGCCCTGCCCACCTCCGGCCGCGGCCCCACCTGGGCTGCTATACTGCTGCAGCTGCTCCGTGTAGCCCGTGCCGCGGCGCTTCCTGCGGGACAAGCCGGGCAGTGACCCCGCGGCCGCTCCGGCCCTGCCCAGGCCCGTGCAGGCCGCCGTGGGCCAGGGCTCTGTGGAAGGACCGGGCCTCCTGCCCGCCTCCGCGTGGCCGGGGGAGGGGCTGGGGGCGGGGGAGAAGGGCGTCCGTGGGGGCTTCTGCAGTGGGTCCTGGGGTCCCCAGGACTTGGGGGTGGCCTGCAGAGGGAGGGGGACCGAGGCGTGGGGGCGTTCACCTCTGGAAGACCACGGCCAGCACGGTGATGGCCACCAGCAGCAGGAAGGCCAAGGCCCCCAGGATGGACCCGATCACCAGGGAGAGCCTCTCCGGGAGCTGGGTGGGCTGCTCGCCTGAGGGACAGTGGGGGGTCACACGGGCCCCCGGGCCCCCCGGCTCCCCAGGCCGGCCCTCTCGCACACACCTGCAGGCCGGGCCGGCGCGGCCGACCCCCCCCACCCCGCCGCGGGCCCTCACCTTGAGGCAGCGTCTGGAAGTAGACCTTGCCCCCATAGGGGCCGTGGCCGGCCGCCGTCCGCGCCCGCACCTGGAAGCCGTAGATGTGGCCGGGGCTCAGCTGCGTCACTGTGGCCATGTTGGTCTCGCTGGTCAGGGTGAAGGAGTGGGACTCGTCTTCCGCCTGCGGGTGAAGCCGCTCAGCCCGGCGCCCGCCCGGCCCCCCCACCCCAGCGGGCCGGCTGCCACAGACGCAGACAGGCCCACCCTGGGTGCGAGGGCCCCTCGCCGGGCCCAACTGGGGGGCAAGTGTGCGCCCAGCCTGTCCCCTGCCCGCCCCCCCCCACACACACACCTGGTCGTAGTAGCGGAGCTGATAGTCCAGAATGTTCCCGTTGGTCTGCTCGGGCTGTGGCCAGGACACAGTAATGCTGCTGGAGGCTCTGCTCACCTGGTGCACCACAGGGACTGCAGAGGGAACTGGGGGAGGGGTGAGTGGGGTGCTGGGGGGCGGGAGGGGTTCCAAGCGAGAGGGACAATGAGGGCGAGGCTCACCTTCGTGGCTGGTGCTGACATTGATGGCTGCAGCCTGGGGAGGGCTGGGGCTGAGCTCTGACACCCCGTTGACAGCCTGCACCTCCAAGATGTAGGGCACATGTGCCCGGAGCCCCCCGACCAGCACGCGGCTCTCTGTCAGGCCCCGCTGGCGGGGGTCGAAGTGCACCTCGTCCCTGCAGCGGCGACAAGCGCCCCCGCCCCCGGGGTCCTGGCGGGCCCCACATTCCTTGCACACCACGTTGAAGAGCAGGTCGCCTCGGCCCCCCAACTCCTGGGGCAGACGCCAGTGCAACATGAGTGCGGAGCCTTGGACCTCGAACCAAAGCTCCCGGGGAGCTGACGGTGGACCTGGGGGGGGGTGCGAGGGGTGCGGGGGGCGACACAGGGGGTCATGGAGGCAGGGAGAAGGAGGTGCAGGGCAGGGGGGAGGAAACCAAGTCACTGCAGGTGCAAAGCAGACCCGAGTCACCCCCAGCGCCCCCTTCTCTGGCCCCACTCCCAGTCCGATTTTTGCACCCCAGGGGCAGGAGGGCGCTCACCGGTGCAGGGGGCCTCCGGGGGGTCTGAGCTGGCCCGGTAGAAGCCTTCCAGGCAGGAGCAAAGGGGGGCTGCAGGGTCAGGGGCGTGGCTGCGAGCAGGGCAGGGGGCACAGGGCACATTCCCGGCCTTGGCCTTGTAGGACCCCCCAGGACAGGCTGAGGAGCAGAGGGGTGCAGGTGTCAGGTCAGCACACCCCCTCCCCCGAGCCCCACACACCTGCACACAGGTGTCCTCCCAGGGCCTCGCCTCCTTTCCCAGGGACCTTTCCCGCCCCCCCCACCACCGCCTTCCTCATTGGGGTGCCTCCTTGGGGTGTGGCTGGGCCGGGGAGGCTCTGCTTGTCCCAGAGGGAGGGAGCGGGGTGTGGCGGGGGCTAGGCAGCAGCTGGAAGAGTCTGGCTGACCGCTTAACCTGCCTCTGCAGGGGCCTCCTGCAGCTGCCACTCAGGGGAGACTCT